TTATTGAGTCCTCAGTATCATATGGTCAAGAAGGTAGCTTGGCATTGCATTGATGATTTCCTGCACGTGAATGGAAGTATCAATNCCTTTACCATACCAAACAAGTTTATACCATTGCACGATTGGACCTTCACTCCTAATATGTTCCCAAGCAAATTTAGCAGAAAACTTACCTCCCGCAATTAAAGTCCACTTTATTGATTCCTCAGTATCATGGTTAAGAAGGTAGCTTGGCATTGCATTGATGATTTCCTGCACGTGAATGGAAGTATCAATTGTCCAATTCCATTGGTTGTTCAAAATAATTTTGCTAACCTTCATGTTCTTGGGAATTCTGGATTCCAGCAAGATCATTGGGTTGCTTCTTCGAAGGAGTAGACCAATGGGATGTCAGTTATCCAGCCACAGGCTAGTAGAGTTCCCGTTTCCTATCCTATGGATAATGTATGGCCTGAACAGTTCTCTAAGTTTAAGCAAATTTCTTCACTTTTAAGAACATGACCTACAACTTTATTGCATATATTAANGTCAGTTATCCAGCCACAGGCTAGTAGAGTTCCCGTTTCCTATCCTATGGATAATGTATGACCTGAACAGTTCTCTAAGTTTAAGCAAATTTCTTCACTTTTAAGAACATGACCTACAACTTTATTGCATATATTAACATCTAATTTTGTTACGTTGAAGTTGCAAAGATCATTTCCTTGACCATGGTATAATTTGGTGACAAAACTTCCAAAACCATCTTTCTCTCACTGGCATGGGACATAACCACTTGAGATTTTATGAATTAAAATATCATCTACGTTCACTGTATTTTTATCTATGCTTTCTACCAAGTCCAATGAACCTAAGGATGGTTGTTGGGTTTGATGAGATCAACAATNCCATAATCATCTCTTTTCCTTTCTCATATAAGGATATCAAATTGAACAACAACACTAACTAGGACCTAAATATAAAAGCCCTCAACAAAGCTAAGCTTGATTTAATATAATTAAGGGTAATTTAATTATAATATATTTTTTTTAAATTGATTTAATATAATTAAGAGAAATTTAAACAATTAAATAATTTTTCTTATAACTTTCTTGTCTTTTAAACAATAGAATGATTTTAAAAAAAAAAAAATATTCTTACAAGTTTTTTATGCTACCAAACATATGCATGGAAATATATTTTTTCTCATTTTCTTTTCTTTCATTTTATTTTCTAAATTTTAACATCTCTATTTGAAGAAATAAAAATGGTGATGTGTCAACCATGCATTACTTCTACATTAATAATATTTGATATTTATTTATTTTAACATAAAAGGTGGATAAATGCACAGTCTTTCAAATTCAACATCTTCTTCTATATAGAAAAGAATGTTTTAGACAATTATCAAAATGTTTTAGCAATTTTACTACCTTTCAAACAATAGAATGAATTTTTTTTAAAAAAATTCTTTCTAAATTTTCATACTAACCAAATATGTTAAAAAATATATATATTTTCTTTTCTTTTTCCTTTCTTTCACTTCGCTTTATAGCACTCTCACTTTTCACCATTCTTTTTTTTTTTTTTCTGACCAAACGGATCCCTAATAGAAAGTCACTCGCTTAGCAAACAAAATAAATAAATAAGGAAAAAAAGAAAACAAAAGGATATCTGAAGCTTACGCTTTGTTGTTTAGTAAGTTGGTCTTTTAAGGAATAAATTATTTGAATTCCAACTTTATAATATTTAGGATAGGCTATGAATCTTGTCATCACCTTCTCTTAAAAATTACCTAATTCATATAATATTAAGCATTGTTGTATTAATCTCATCTATGGTCGAGTTCGTGTGAACCAATTTCTCTAAGTGATCCATTCAGCCACTTTAATCAATCATCAAATGACACATAATGCTTATTAAAGTTGTTTACGAGTATTCTTATCTTATTTTTTTAATTGTAAGAAAATAAGAAGCAAAATTTTCCATAAATAAACTGAAGCCATGGTACGACTTTTGAAGAACGAATCTTTTNGGGGGGGGGGGGGGGGGGGGGTAGGTATATTATGGGATGACTGTCCTAATTATCTATTAGCGAGGGCTGCGAGGGTAGATTATGGGGAACAGTATATGAGTATTGTCCAAACTATACTGTCCAGAGATGTCCCCAGTTTGAGCGCTTATTGCTGTCTCATTGTAAAGATCTGATGGTTCAATCCCACTCATTAATCCCACAGTCTCTTCAATCTGGCTTTGTTGATGAACCCATGGATGTTTGGTAAACCTTCTTAAACCTTCAAGTTCCATTGAAACTTCTTTCATTGTAGGTCTTTCTTCACCATTTAGGTCAACACATTTCTTTACAAGCTGACCAAGTGCTTGGAGCTGCTCTAGAGTACCCTCTCTCAACACTTGAGGATCGAGAATTTGAAATAACCGGTTTTCCTTCACGGACATGATGAAATACGTGGCTAAATTTCTTTCTTCTTGGGTTCTCTCCATACAAAGGNATTTTCCTTCACAGACATGATGAAATACGTGGCTAAATTTCTTTCTTCTTGGGTTCTCTCCATACAAAGGGGTTTTTTCCCAGTGAGAAGTTCAGCCAGAACAACTCCAAAGCTGTATACATCACTTTTCTCGGTTAATTGACTAGTATGGAAGTATTCTGGATCCAAATAGCCAAGTGTCCCTTGAACTAATGTAGTCACTTGAGTTTGATCCAAGGGAACCAACCTTGAAGCTCCAAAATCTGATATTTTTGCTGTGAAATGCTCATCTAATAATATGTTTGCTAATTTGATGTCTCTATGAATAATTGGCATTGAAGCTGCCGAGTGAAGATAAGCGAGTGCTCCAGCAGTTTCGGAAGCTATCCTCAATCGATTCTCCCAAGATAACTTGGGCATTCCCCCTCTATTGTGGATGTGGTTGAAGAGACTACCATTAGACACAAATTCATAAACCAACAAGGGGACTTCGGTCTCCAAGCAACACCCTAAGAGCTTCACTACGTTCCGGTGATTAACCTGTGTAAGAATAACCACTTCATTGATAAATTGTTCTATTTGGCTCCCATCCATTATTCTAGACTTCTTGATTGCAACTACACGATGATCGTGTAGAATTCCTTTGTAAACTGTACCATAACCACCTCTGCCAAGAATGCGATCCTCAGCATAGTTATTGGTTGCTTTCGCTAACTCTTCGGCTGTAAAAACTTTTGCTGTCTCAGCACCACCCTCAGTTGAAGAGATTTGTTGCTTCATCAGGAAACCGCCATTTTNCTCCTTTGTAAACTGTACCATAACCACCTCTGCCAAGAATGCGATCCTCAGCATAGTTATTGGTTGCTTTCACTAACTCTTCGGCTGTAAAAACTTTTGCTGTCTCAGCACCACCCTCAGTTGAAGAGANGCTGTATACATCACTTTTCTCGGTTAATTGACTAGTATGGAAGTATTCTGGATCCAAATAGCCAAGTGTCCCTTGAACTAATGTAGTCACTTGAGTTTGATCCAAGGGAACCAACCTTGAAGCTCCAAAATCTGATATTTTTGCCGTGAAATGCTCATCTAATAATATGTTTGCTAATTTGATGTCTCTATGAATGATTGGCATTGAAGCTGCCGAGTGAAGATAAGCGAGTGCTCCAGCAGTTTCGGAAGCTATCCTCAATCGATTCTCCCAAGATAACTTGGGCATTCCCCCTCTATTGTGGATGTGGTTGAAGAGACTACCATTAGACACAAATTCATAAACCAACAAGGGGACTTCGGTCTCCAAGCAACACCCTAAGAGCTTCACTACGTTCCGGTGATTAACCTGTGTAAGAATAACCACTTCATTGATAAATTGTTCTATTTGGCTCCCATCCATTATTCTAGACTTCTTGATTGCAACTACACGATGATCGTGTAGAATTCCTTTGTAAACTGTACCATAACCACCTCTGCCAAGAATGCGATCCTCAGCATAGTTATTGGTTGCTTTCGCTAACTCTTCGGCTGTAAAAACTTTTGCTGTCTCAGCACCACCCTCAGTTGAAGAGATTTGTTGCTTCATCAGGAAACCGCCATTTTGTTGAAAGAATTTCTCTCTGAGTTTGATGAGCTTCCTTTTCTTGATGATAAGATACACCCATGGAATTCCAATGAGTAAGGACAAAAAGCCAAACCCCATACCTGCATCGATTGTTATTTTTCAAAAAAAGTTATTAAACAGGAGTTAGAATCAAGTCTTTTCTGGTCAGGAGGCTAATTTGTTTGCAATGGTATACAATGACTATAATGCCGCTTGGGTAGGACCAAGATTTTTTTTTTTTTTACGTTTGATTGAACACAAAAATCATGAAAATTAACTATGGTTTACCAATACGAATAAGACACGCTTAGGCCAAAATTGAACTGGTCAGGGTCTAGAATCTAGATAGGCTGATCAAACTTGAATTTACGTAGAAAGTTAAATTAAGGAAAAAACTATGCTGAGATAGAGACTTAATCATATACTACTATTGCTTATTATAGAAAACCACGCCTACACAATAAAAAAATATATACGTGTATTGTTTTGTCAACTATTTTAGGTAGCTAGTTAAAAAGTATAATATGCGGAACATTTGTATTTAAATAGTTATTGACTTGTAAATTTCGAAGCCAATGATGCCAAGAACTATGCCAAGTTTGAAAAAATACACCTTTTTTTTTTTTTTTTGGCTTCGACGGTCGAGAGTGTTCGAGTCACGAGGGATTTACATGATTAAGGGTGTTTGAATCAGGTCATGATAAGTTTTTTTTTTATAAATTTTCTAATTTCGACGTGAATAACTTGTCTTCCATTAGATTGAAAAAATGATTAATTGAGGTGCTTCAATAGAATGAGACATAAATTAAGTAAAAACTTACCTAAAGAGAACTTAATAACTGGGAATTGTGAGTTCTTGGCAATGCAACCATACCCATCTGTTCGGCCATCGCCATAGTATCCTCTTGGACATTCACAATAATAACTTCCCAAAGTATTTATGCAAGTCTTCTCGCAAGTATNCGCCCATCTGTTCGGCCATCGCCATAGTATCCCTTTGGACATTCACAATAATAACTTCCCAAAGTATTTATGCAAGTCTTCTCGCAAGTATTTTTGTTGCAAATCTTCTCACAAGTATTTTTGTTCGGATCTGCACACTCATCAATATCTGACAAACAAAAGCATCATAATACACCCAAACATACAGTTTTTGTTAAATGAGTTTTAAAATACTCCATAAACTTTCAATTGTTCTCTACTTTTAAAATCATTTTCGTCTGCTTATTTTACCTCTCTATTCTACACATAACATTAACATATGATTCTTGTGTCAAAAAAAAAAAATCATACTTTTTCAAATGGGTAAAGGCTAAATTAAGATGACTGAAAAATATTAAAATTGGTAATATAATTTAAGGATGATTTATGATATTTACTCAAGTAACAAGCACCCACCTTTGCAGCCAGGACTGAGATAGGGATTGCCTTCATAGCCTCCTTTGCAGCTACAGCTATACCCTCCCAAACCTTTGTTTGAAATTGAATCAGCACACGTGGTATTTGCTTGACAGACCAAAGCTCCTGAACTTTGCGCTTCACTGCAACTATGATTCCCAATAACCCAGTCGATCGCTACCGGAACGCTGGACTCTATCCTGTTCTTGAATGTCGGATCGGAAAAGTCTGACGCGCCGCCAAATGTAAAGCTGTCTTGCTCGGCAAGAAAAGCATAACCGCAACGCGCAAAGGACCAGACATTGGTGTGATTGTTCAGACTGGCCAAGGCAGCACCAAAAGTCTGTATACCCGTTGGTATCGGAATGTTACAGCAACCAATCCCAGAACAATTACCGCTGGTTACGTACTCACTCGCTGAACAGAGGGAGATACACCCACTGCTAAAGTTACCCCCAATTGTCGCTACTGTCGCTGCTATTATTGCTAAATCGTCACAACCGATGACCGTGAACTTGTTTGTATCGGAGAAGGCGAAGTATTGAAAAGCTAAATTAATCCCCACCGTGTTTGATGAGGTCAACGTGCCGTTTTGGTCGTAGCAACTGGAAGCAATCCAGGTCTTAACGCGTAATTGGGTCTCCGATATGTCGATTACTTCGAGGTTACCTCTGAAGAAGGGTTTCGGAGGATTGAATGAAGTATTGCAGTTGATATCGAATCCTGGGTCGATGGAACAACCCGTTCCTATGCCGATGCCAAATGGGTATGGAACTGTTAGGTTTCCACATTGGCTTTGGCAGCCTGTTTTAGAGATGGGGGTGGTGGTGGTGACGAAGGCGGCGGCGAGAGTCAATGTGAGGCCATAGGGACAGAACCAAGCAAATTTTTGAAGCATCTTCGTTTGCCTGTTTGTGGTCTTACCCCGCCCATTATATAGACCATCTCTTCTTTTTTTAGTTTTGCCGGTGGGTAAAATGCACTAAATGACCGGGTCAACGACAATGGGTCAACACTGCGCCCCTCTGTAATGATTGGTCGAAATTGGAAATAGTGGTCCCATCCACGTGAAAAAATGTCAAAGAAAGAGCCGGGTCACGCATAAGAAAAAAGTGTTTTTTTTTTTTTTTGACAGAGACGCTAAAAAGTCTGATGCCCTCCAAACATGAAAATGATCATAGCATCTAGCCATTCTAGCCAGCTTGTGCGCAGCACAATTTCCAGTACGTCTAATTGTAGAAATAGAACAAGAACGAAAAACATTTATAAAGCACCTAACATCTGCTATAATTGATCCTAAAGGAGAAAAATCCTCATTAGCATTAGCTATCATCTTCATCACTGTAGATGAGTCCCTTCTAAGACAATCTCCTCACACTCCATCTGCCTAGCAAATAGCAGAACCTCCCTTGCCGCAGTACTCTCCGTTGTTTGCACATCATACAACGAATGTATCTTCTTTGACATTCCCGCAATAAAAAGTCCAGAATCATCCCTAATAACAGCACCCACACCAATAGCCCCTTCAGAGTTAAATAATGCTCCATCAAAATTTACCTTGAATGTACCAGAAATTGGGGGAGACCAACGAACTGGTTCTGCTACAGCAGAGTGTGCAAATTCTGTCTCCATAGCCCGTTCAAACTGCTCCAGGTACAACTCTGCGTTTTGGGCAAGTAACGTAGGGTCAGTTTCCAGATTCTGGAAACGAAATTCATTCCTATTCCTCCAAATAAACCAGCAATGCATCAGAAACAGTGAAAACAAATGGGACTTTAATGGTTGAGTGACTTCCCAACACCAGTTTTGGATATTGGTTGCAGGTTGATGCACCCAGTGGCGTAGTGGACTGTTTTCCCATGATTTCTTTGACCAAGAGCATTCCTTTAAAATATGTAGAATAGACTCTATTTCCATTCCGCATACACTACACACACCATTCGGGCAAATCTTCCTTCGCCATAAATTCTCATTTGTAGGGAGAGCATTCAATAACATTCTCCAAGCAAAAATTTTGACTTTACTTGGGACTCGCTGTTTCCATAACGCCTTCCAGTTGCCATCAAGACTTGACGAAGAGCTTGCAGAGGATATTCCCGACACAAATAAATTACCCTCATAAGCTAAATGGTAAGCACTCCTTACAGAGAATCTACCATTATTGCTATAATACCATATCAGTTTATCTTCCAACGGAGAAACTCCCAACGGGATCCGCTTAATTACCTCAGCTTCATGCTCCAAAAAAATCTCATCAACCAACTGTGTTTTCCAATCTCGTGTTTGGGGTCAATAAGCTGGAAAATTTTAGCCTCCTCCTCAAGTATTTGCCTAGGACTCACTACTTTAAAAGTGATGGGTGTTGGAATCCACCTATCATGACACACTTTAATCTTGGAACCATCTCCTATTCTCCATCTTGATCTGGCTTCAATCACTTTCCTAGCTTCTAGGATGCTCCTCCATGTGTATGATGGCCTGTACCCTAGCTTAGCATTCATGAACTATGTTGACGGAAAATATTTGGCTTTCATAACCTGATGAAGAAGAGTATTAGTTTCATGATGGATTCTCCATGCTTGTTTAGCTAGCATCGCCATATTGAACGTTCTCAAATCCCTGAAACCCATGCCACCTTGGTTCTTCCCCTTGCACATATCAACCCACTTTACCCAATGAATTTTTCTCTCCCTTTCCTTTTGACCCCACCAAAAGTTGGAAGCAAAAAACTCCATCTCATTGCACAAATATTCTGGGAGTTTGAAACAACCTATAGCATATGTTGGAATTGACTGGGCCACTGCTTTGATCCAAATTTCTTTACCAACCCTTGATAATAGGCGTCCTTTCCATCCCTGTAACTTCTTCCAACCCCGCTCCCTTAAATTAGCAAACACCTCCTTCTTAGACCTGCCCACCACCGATGGTAATCCTAAGTATTTCTCGTGCTGGTTTACCCGAGAAACACCTAGGATGGATTGCACTTCTCTTGCTCTTGTCTCTGGGACGTTGTTACTACACACCATTGCAGATTTCTCCAAGCTGATTTGTTGTCCCGATGCTGATTCATATAGTCGTAAAACATCCTTAATTGCATCTGCTTCGGAGGAGGTAGCCTTGAAGAAAAGAAGACTATCATCTGCAAAAAAAGGTGAGAAATTCTGGGACATCCACAACCTAGAGTTATTCCTGAAATAACACCCCTTCTTTCGGCATCTTTAAGCAACGAAGACATTCCCTCTGCGCAAATAAGAAAAAGGTAAGGAGATAAGGGGTCTCCTTGTCGGATCCCCCTTTGAGGACAGAAAAAACCAGTTTGCTCAGTATTTAATATCAAAGAATATGAGACTGACTCCACACATTGCATAATCAATCGTATCCACCCATTAGCAAAGCCCAATGCTCTCATCATTTTCTCCAAGATTATCCACTCTAATCTGTCATATGCTTTACTCATATCTAACTTCAAAGAAATATGACCCTCATTTCCCCAGTTTTTGCATTTAAGATAATGGTTAATTTCAAAAGCCACAAGGACATTATCAGTTATTAACCTACCCGGAACAAAAGTACTTTGGTTTTCAGAAATAATTGAGGGAAGAATAATTTTCAACCTATTACCTAACACCTTAGAAATAATCTTATAGAGCACATTACAAAGACTAATAGGTCAAAATTGTGACATATGTTTAGGATTTTTGACCGAAGGTATAAGAACGATATGGGTGTAATTTAACTTAGAAGGAAAATCACCCTCATTGAGAAAAGATAACACACAATCCAGGACATCAGTGCCAACCACATGCCAGTACTTTTGAAAGAAGAGTGCTGGCATGCCATCAGGACCAGGGGACTTAGTTGGGTACATTTGAGACAAAGCTAACATTACCTCATCTGCTCTAAAACATTGCATTAGTGTTGAGTTCATTTCGTCAGATACCTTGCGTATCACTTTGCTCAAAACAGCCTCTAATCTGGATCTTGTGGTTTACCCGAAGTGAACAATGATTGAAAATATGCAACAGCTACCTTCCCAATCTCTTCCTGCGATTCACACCACCCTCTGTAATGATTTTTCAAACTCCCTATCCAGTTCGTTCGTCTCCTTTGTGATGCCCAAGTATGGAAAAAAGCGAAATTTTTATCCCCATCTTTAAGCCAATTTATTCTAGATCTTTGATGCCAATACGATTCTTCATGATCCAACAGCTCATCCAATTCAGCTTTCAGTACCTGTTGTTGTTGTCTAACATTTTCAGAAATTGTACCTTCTTGAAGAGTCGCAAGGTTCTTTTTCAATTGCTCAATTTTAGCAGGGACATATACAACAGTTTCTTTTTTCCACTTGAGCAATCCCGTTCTACAATTCTGAATATTTGTAATAATCCCCTGTGCTCCCCTTTGTGATATCCCAAACTCCCATGCTTCCTTAATAACGGCTTCACAATCACTTCTCTTAACCCAAGCCGCCTCAAACCTAAACTTTCTCCTTTGCCAAACATTCGTGTTCAATGGGTTCTTTGCCTCTGTGTCTAAAAGAACTTCGTAATGATCCGAATCCCTACTAAAAATGTGGCGCACCCCAACATTCGAAAAATAGTTCATTCCAATCAGTAGTAGCACACACCCTATCCAATCTCTCCCAAACCATATATGAATGCGACCAATTATTGCACCATGTATATTGGTATCCCTCATACCCAAGATCCATCAAAGCACACCCAACCAGTACATCCCTGAAAGCTCTCATTTGACTATCTGGTCTTTCCCTCCTACCCTTCTTCTCACTGTTTGTAAGAATTTCGTTGAAATCACCGGCACATATCCAGGGTAACTCATACCATGACCTGAGCAAACGTAATAGGGACCAGGATTCTGAACATCTAGACACCTCTGGGCTTCCATAAAATCTAGTAAACCGCCAACAACACTGATCATTATCTCCATCAACAACTACATCAATATGTACCCTAGAAAAACTCAGTAATGAGACACATTCATCCCTCTGCCATAACAGAGCCAATCCCCCTGACAAACCCAGCGGATCAACTGAATCTCCATTCATCCCCAACCTTCTTTTCAGTCTTTCAATACCACCAGCTTTACACTTTGTTTCCATCAAGAAAACAAAATGGGGCCTTTCTTTCTTCACAAAATCGTGAAGAAACCGAATTGTCCAAGGTTGCCCAATTCCTCGGCAGTTCCAACTTAATATTTTCATGGCAATCGGCAGGTCTGGAAACCAGACTCTGCCGTTGGGAGCTTAAGATTTGGAACCGCTTTCCCAAATTATACCTGGTCAAGAGAAACCCTTTTCTTCGAACTCGACTGCCCATCCACCTCCATCGTGTGAACTGCATTTGCTGTTTGTCGCTTATTTCCCACAATTGCCTCCTTCTTTGTTTTAGCTGAGACATTCGGAGCCCTAGCCTGCCGTTTCCAATTTTTCAGATTTTTCCTTCCCTTACTATCTTCCACCAAGACACCTTTTCCCTTGGATTTGTCGTCCTTTTCAACCTCAGTAAGGGTGTGAACCTCAGTGGTCTTAGACTTAACAGTATCCCTTTCACATTGTAAATAGTCTTTGTGGATATGTGGGCTGAAAAACTCATTATTTCCCATAGTTGTAGGCTTGTCATCCTGCCTCAAATGTTGAAGTTGGTCCACCATTAGATCAGGCCCAATTGGCTTATTGGGCCCCTCATCACTTAGATAATGCTTATCGGCTAAATTTTCCAAGTTGGACTCCAAGTCAACCGTTCTAAACCCACTGCTCTCCCCAGTAACTGCTTCTTGCTCACCCATCTTCATAGTATCAGGACCACCTATCATCATGGAAACATGTTCCATCAATTCTGAATTCCTGGGGTTATCACCAACTTCCATAATCGTGGCATCAACCGTCGCCGTATCTTCCCCTTCCCCCATTTCTCCGCCCATCGTGGTTCCCTGCTCAAAAGCCTGATGAACTTCAGTAAAGGTTTTCTTCTGCTGGACTACCTTCTTCGTCTTCTCCCCCAAAGCTCTTAACCATGGTCCATATTGCAAAGGACCTTTATTAGAGCTTTGATCCCCCAAACGAACTAAACAATCTCTTTCCCCATGACCAAAACAACCACAGAAATAACACACATTCGGCAGCCTTTCATATCTAAAATAGACTATAAACTTTGTTCCATCAGTCCCTCGAACCGTCATACCCCAGAGAAGTGCTTTATCTACATCAAGCAAAATCCTAACTCGTAGATACCTACCCCAGCCAACCTCATCTTGAAACAGATCAGTCTCAATATATTCACCAACTCAATTCCCGATAATTCTCTCCGGTACCCGCATTCATACAATTAAATGGCAGATTGTAAATTTGAACCCAGAATGGACAATGCCTAAAACTTATCTTAGATGCTGGTATATTACCCACATACTCCGTAAGCAGGAGAAGATGGTTATCAAAGGACCATGGCATCCCCTCAAGCACCCTTTTCCTGTCCATCATCGTTGAGAAGTGGATCAAAAACAAATTATCTCCAAGGTCCCTAAAGTCCACGTTCGAAACATTCCAGACTTACTTCATTGTACTTTTAAAGGTTGTTCTATTAAAGGGTCTATTTGTATGCAGCCTGCCCAATAAGCAAACCCTTCCCTTTTCCTCCAGAACATCATCTGCTTGATTACCAATATTTAGATCTATTTGTTCTTCCCCTAAAAGCTTGAAATTAGACCACAATTTCTCCATTTCTTCATCCATCATTCACCCAAAAAAAAATACCCACAATCCGAGATGCTTAGAGGTTGTCCCAACTGGCACAGTGCATACGTATCTAACCAATTAAACTCAAGACCTGCATCAAACACATCTCAAGAAAACACCATATAAAATACCAAAAGATGTAGATAAAACCAAAACACAAACAAAAAACAAGAAGGATGCACATCAGAAGAAATAAGAATACGAAAACTCAGAAGTCCTAAAGATTCTAAAAACTAATAATATCCCCAAGCTACAAGAAACTTCTATTAGGAACACCTAAGAAAGAAGGACCACTGCATGGGCAGAGAAAAACCTCCACACTGAGAGGACTAATTCCACACAGGAACAACAACGTAGAGTAGAAGAATTCACATCGGTGAACAAATTCCAAAACAGGTGAGTAAAGATAAGTATCAATTGTCTATCACAGATACATTACCTCATAGCATGCCAAGAAGCCATACTAGTCCCTCACTTTCTAGAAATCTCATGAAGAGGTTCACCTTAATCGGGTCACTAGCAATCTAGTAAGTCGTCCTGTGTCTGTGATCCATCGTTAGGCCATCGATTTTACGTTCATTTGACGTCTTGCCTCAAATGCATCTTGCTCGTAACCGACCCTCTAAGCAATGTCTGAGGGTTGTTTTCCACAACTTGACACATAGTCACCAAGCATGTCTGTTATTTTACTTATGATGTGTGCAATGCCATCAGATGCTTCACCAGTTGTCTTCCTCCGTTGTTTACGACTTGTGGGTGTGTCCCTCTGTCCAGCCACACCATGTTGAGGTGTGCTTTTAGACATTTCAGTGTGTCATGTTTACGTCGGTGACTGCGGCATTCTCAGCATCATGCACCTGAACTCCCGCATCATCACCCCCAGCCATCTCTTCTAAATCTTTGGCATACTCGCCTGTTGCACGGTCTTTGCCAAAAATTATGCTCCAATCATTGTAGTAAGACCAGTTTTTCCTACGCATTCCTTTCGCATTACGATTTTTTTGGAAAACAACAGGCCATTAGTGAATGCCTTAATGACAATGTTAGTGGGGTTAGGAAGTCAGTACCTTTATGTACTCAACCCAAACGTTGTCCCCTTCAACATCTATCTTTTGTTTTGCGTCATCCCACCCGAACCCAGACGTGCTAAGCATGGTGAAGAGTGTGTTGTAGGTTTTCTTCTAATTTTTTATCTTCGACTCAATGTGTGGAGTGGCACGTAGGTCAGTTCCACCTAGTGCATCTGATAAAGCCTTCTCCAAGTGGTGCAAATAGCCTGATCTAAACGCGCCATTTTGGGATTTTCAGCCCTGATTACAAAATGTCTTTCAGTGCATTTATAAACAACGATTCTTCGAACACTGTCCATATTCGTCTTAGTCCCTTATCAAACTAGGAACTTCCCCTAAACTGCGAACTCCCAACACTTGCCATGTAACCACTACAAATAACATTGAATCCACATGTGTTTTGATTGTTAATTAAGTTAAAGTTGCCAACAAAATATATTTTCAAGAAGCTTCAAAGACATTTACATACACACTACACATCCACTAATACCATTACTTGCAACGAATAGAACTTAATAAAAAAAAAAACCAGTTTGATATGGCGAAAGTAATTCACTAAAAACATGCAACAATCTGTATCCACTAACATCAATGTTCCCTATTACACCTCCACTCTCTGTACATATCAGTCGCTAGTTGATCACACCATGCAATCCAACCATGTGAAGATTCAACGCTATCGATTATATCATTATCATTCATATTCTCATCTTCTAATGGATGGTCATCAAACTCTTCCTCGATCGGATCAATGAAGTAAACAACAAGCAGTAATGATTTGTTGTGCGTTGCTACAGGGTAAAAACACACCGTCCTAAGGATAGCCCAACACATTTTAAGTAGCCCAAAACACCTTTCTATGACATTCCTCATTGTTGCGTGCCTCAAATTGAAATACTCTAGTGTGTTTTTGGGAGCTGCGACACCGTCGAAAAACTCCTGCAAGAGGTATTGTTGGCCACAAAATGGAGCCAAAAAACCTTCTTTATTTGTGTACCCAACATTCACAAGGTAATATATACCTACATGTGCANACGCATTCCTTTCGCATTACGATTTTTTTGGAAAACAACAGGCCATTAGTGAATGCCTTAATGACAATGTTAGTGGGGTTAGGAAGTCAGTACCTTTATGTACTCAACCCAAACGTTGTCCCCTTCAACATCTATCTTTTGTTTTGCGTCATCCCACCCGAACCCAGACGTGCTAAGCATGGTGAAGAGTGTGTTGTAGGTTTTCTTCTAATTTTTTATCTTCGACTCAATGTGTGGAGTGGCACGTAGGTCAGTTCCACCTAGTGCATCTGATAAAGCCTTCTCCAAGTGGTGCAAATAGCCTGATCTAAACGCGCCATTTTGGGATTTTCAGCCCTGATTACAAAATGTCTTTCAGTGCATTTATAAACAACGATTCTTCGAACACTGTCCATATTCGTCTTAGTCCCTTATCAAACTAGGAACTTCCCCTAAACTGCGAACTCCCAACACTTGCCATGTAACCACTACAAATAACATTGAATCCACATGTGTTTTGATTGTTAATTAAGTTAAAGTTGCCAACAAAATATATTTTCAAGAAGCTTCAAAGACATTTACATACACACTACACATCCACTAATACCATTACTTGCAACGAATAGAACTTAATAAAAAAAAAAACCAGTTTGATATGGCGAAAGTAATTCACTAAAAACATGCAACAATCTGTATCCACTAACATCAATGTTCCCTATTACACCTCCACTCTCTGTACATATCAGTCGCTAGTTGATCACACCATGCAATCCAACCATGTGAAGATTCAACGCTATCGATTATATCATTATCATTCATATTCTCATCTTCTAATGGATGGTCATCAAACTCTTCCTCGATCGGATCAATGAAGTAAACAACAAGCAGTAATGATTTGTTGTGCGTTGCTACAGGGTAAAAACACACCGTCCTAAGGATAGCCCAACACATTTTAAGTAGCCCAAAACACCTTTCTATGACATTCCTCATTGTTGCGTGCCTCAAATTGAAATACTCTAGTGTGTTTTTGGGAGCTGCGACACCGTCGAAAAACTCCTGCAAGAGGTATTGTTGGCCACAAAATGGAGCCAAAAAACCTTCTTTATTTGTGTACCCAACATTCACAAGGTAATATGTACCTACATGTGCACATAATTGAATAAAACTTAATTCTTGATGAAACTAACCAAGTCAAAAAATGTGTAAAACAAATTTTTTGTGACATTACCATGTTTCACCTTCAACCCATTCCGTCGTGTGATAGCATCTCACAATACCCTAGAATCATGTGCAGAGCCCTCCCACCTGAGCAATACGTAGATAAATTTCATGTCTTGCCTACAAACGCCCAACATATTAGTTGTTGTCCACCCCTTCCTATTCCTATATCTACCTTGGTGTAGGAGGGGCGTTTAGAACATTTGCAGGCACTAGATGGCAGAAATAATATGTTGTGCCATCTAGTGCCATCTAGTCCCTAACTAGATTTGTGTCATCTAGTGCCTACATACATGTGGAACATGTGGACTAAATTTGTGTGTAGGCACTAGATGTGGAACATGTGGAATCTAGTGCCATGTTCTATTGCTACAACATCTAGTGCACTAAATTTGTAGAACATCTAGTGGAACATGTGTAGAACATCTAGTGCACTAAATTTGTGTGTAGGCACTAGATGGCACAACTAAGCAGGAAGTCCCTAACTAAGTAGGAAATCCCTAACTAAGCAGCACAACACGTGGAATGTATGTCTATCCATCCTAAGTTGTTCTACACATGTTCTATTGCTTTCTCCGATAAGCCTATGGAGATGCTCACTTTGTGCACAGAACTTATTGACTGACCTAGTCAATACCTATGTTTTTCGTTTTTTATTTGTCCATATTGCTATCATAACCATCAAAGTACAAATCCAAACAATGACGAACTCTCTTACTAAATTATTAAGACAAACAACCACAACTGCTACATTGTCATGTTTGTGGGCCATATTCACTGAAATAATACCACAAAAACATCCATCATATCAATATTAATAATTACAAAATAATTTTTCAAACACATTAACTACATAGTTTCTCTATGTATGTCTGTGTGTTCAAATGACCACCACATCTATGAAACTCCTACTACAAATACCAATCTCGTAATAAAAATAAAACCCATGCATCTGAAAAAATTTAAAGTGTACTTGTACCTTTACAATTACAAGTCAATTCTTAACTTAATGCGTTTGGACATAAAGGGCGTAAAAGTTAAACAACCTAGTACATATGAAAAAATTTAAAGTGTACTTATACCTTCACAATTATAAGCCAATTCTTAAGTTAACGTGTTGGGACAAAAAGGTAGTAAAAGAATATTAGTTTAAGATGAAAATTCAGCTTCAAAATGAAAATTCCAGCAACCTAACTGAATTGCAGTGGTAAATTCCTGCAATTTATTTTCCTACCAGCTAAGTTATGGCTTTAAAATTTAGCTTAAGTTTGGGTTACTTATTTATTTTCCCAGCCATTAAGTTTGGTACCATCCATTCTAAGCTATGCAACTAATAGGTTTTGATTAGTTTAAGATCCAAACCTCCCATGCTATCTCAATTGACCATTTCGTTGTTTGGATTCTAAAGGAAATAAACTCATGATTCATTAGTAACCAAACTTCCAAGCATTTAATCAAACTAATTTTACTATATAGAGTTTTAATCAAGTTAAGGGAAATATTAACAAGTAGCCATGCCTTTACATTTTATTCTGATAAACTAGTATTAAGTTAAACCATGAAACATGTTTAGCCAGTTTTACTTGCTATAGCATTTCACTACCAAATCTTTTTTTTTTTTTTTTAAATAATACTTACAAATTACCTCACATAAGCCTACCTCCCTTTCCCCTTCTTGTCCTCT